CAAACCACCTGTGTTAGTCTGGGTTGACTAGAGAAACAAAATTCATGGGCACTCATATATGTATAAGAAAGAGCTTTATATAAAAGTGCAATTGTATATTGAGAAATACTCCAGCCCAGTCTAGGTCAAGTCCATAAGTCCAATATTAGCCCATACATCCAATACTAGTTAATAAATTCCTCTTCAGACTTGTGCAGCTATACAATAATGCTAAATTCAGGAAGACCACAGGCCAGTGGGTGGAAAGTCTTGTGGATCCAGGGGTGCTGGAAGTATCTAAGTGCTGGCGTGGGTCTCCATGTGGCTTTTCTACTTCCAGGGCTCTGGCTGCATCGGTATAGATACAAGTGCCTTATCAACAGGAATGTCTTAGAAGGAGTGAGGGTATCTGGCCTCTAGTGAGTTATTTATCTCCTTTGCACCTCCAAATGAGGTCATCAAGCTGTCTATGATTTGTTTCTCTACCTGGATTAACACATTGCCCGTAAAGCAACCCCTATTGAATTCTTAGATTTATCAGTAAGCCAAAATACGGTTCATTGTCACCTCCACCTGCATTTATGACACAGCCCTCCAGACACCATCATACTTAGCAGTCTCACAACATGTGCAACATAATTGTTTTTGCCACACTCTCCTATGGGAATAGGTATAAGCTTCTGAAATCAGTAAAGGTGATTCAAAAAAGAAACAAAGTCAGTATAAATAAAACACTAGAAATAAATTAAAACAATGTAGGAAGTCGTTAACACCCAGAAATTAAAATATGTTCTATAGCCATAGTAAACAAAACAGCCTGGTACTGGTACAACAATTGATATGAAGACCAATGGGTTAGAATTGAAAACCAGAAATACAGTTGAATACCTATAGACATCTAATCTTTGATAAAGTTTTAAGACAGATTACATGGGGCAGAGATAGCCTTTTCTTTAACAAATGCAAATTATGTTGGATCATCACCTGCAAAAGAAAGAAGAATAAGATGACCCATTCTGCACACCATATGCAAAAATGAACTCACCATAAATCAGGGACCTAAATACAAACCCCAGAACCATAAAGGCTAACCATGAAAATTTAGGGACAAACTAAAGGTCACTAACAAGGCATAGACAAACTGTACACATAATGAAATATCCGCAGTATAGAAGAAAAGTAAAGAACTGAGACCTATGAAAAGACTAAACGTTTATCAAAAGACTTCATCAAAAGAATTAAGAAAGAATGCACAGATTGAGAAAAACCAGTCAGTAATAATACATCAGATTAAGGACAAATCTCCAAAATCTGTAGGCAACTACAATATTTAACAAGAAAAATACAAATAA